AATGACTGCCTTTGGTAGTTCTAGGTAGAAATACGCAAAACTCTTTTGTGTCTTGTACGTTTAATAAAATAACAATGATAGAATAAAATATAGGCACATTTAGGAAAAGTCAGGGTCCTATTACATGGGTTTTATTTCAACAAAGTTATTACATTGCAAAATTTTACAACAGTCAAAATGACTGCCGTGGGAGTTCTAGTGTTAAATGTCTATTTTATTCCTACACACTATTAGATTGACATTAAATGTATAAACCTGAAAAGAAACATTTTCAATTCGATCAAAATGTATATAATGCTATAACAAGAAATATAATTCCAGACCATTAAGCAGCAAAAACTGTTTTCAACATTGCTAATAATAAGAAATGTTTCTTTAGCACCAAATCAGCATTAAATAATGATTTTGAAGGATCATGTGACACTGAAGACAGCTAAAAAAATCAGCTTTGCCATCACAGGGATAAATTACATTTTAAAGGTCCCCTGACATGAAATTTTCATGAAAAGTTTTTAACATTAATATTAGTTCCCTGGCCTGTATTTGGTCCCCTCGTGTCTAGAAATTTCAGTCGGTGTAAACCGAGTTTTGGCTATCTTTCTCTGCCTGTGAGAAAATGAGATCTCAGACGGGCTGATCTTGAATCTCCCCTATATGACGTCATATAGGGGAAAGGTTACCTCCCCCTTCTCTGCTTTGCCTGCCCAGAGAATTTGGCTCGCCCATGAGAAAACGAGCTAGGAACAGGAAGTACGAATGCGCCGGCGCGATTTTAGTTTTTCCTAGAGAAATAGCTTTGAGATTTGAGTTTTTCCTCGAGAGATATCATGGCTTGCAAACGAGCGAAGCATGGCAGTTGATCAGTGTTCGGATGTACAAATGAACACAAAAGTATTTTTTAGTTCCTTCATCCGAGCCTCTGAAGAAACAATGGGTTAATTTTATTTACTCTGGAAATGCACCGACAAGTTGTGTATGGTCCAAACATTTCACCGACGACTGTTTCCTTAACTCGATGAACGTCTGAAAATAAATCGATCGAGCTACCAAGCAACAATTTCTGATGTGTAGCCTAATTGTTCAAGTTCAGACAGGTAAGTTAATCTTTCTCTCAAAATCGTTCAATACTGTTTATGCATCAGTAAGTCAAGCCAGTGACTAAAATATCAACTTCACATCGTTTCTTTTAGTAGGATGAAAATAATCTTATTTAAATTCCGAACAAATTATACAGAAAGCGATCAAAGAACAATCTTTCCACACAGCGCGAGTTTATCTGTACAACTCGTTGTGAAATCAAGGACGCACGTTACACTGCACAACGAAGCTCTTATTGTATTAGGTATTTACATCATCGTGTTTGCATTGGGGAAAGCATTAGAGAGAGCAGAAACTGAGTTGCAATAATAAGATCTTCATTCTCGCCATCAACAGACTGTCATCTTCTTGCTCAATGCTCATCACAGCAACATTTTATGTGATGGGAATAGATCTAAATACTTTAAAAACTTCTCACGATTCGTTAATCTCGATAGCTGTAATAGTAAAAACGTATAATAGCTGTAGTAAAAGTATTCGAGAAAGTTTTGCATGTAATACATAGCTATACGCTGATTTCACGCTGCCACCATTTTGAAATCGAAAGCGAGGCTCCGGTGGGAAGAACCCCAGAAGTACAGATAGACAACAATGCTCGGACTACCAACCTGAAGAAGCTGCCGCGATTTACACTATTGGATGTTAATATCCAATATAGGGTATGTATATAGTTCGTTCCTGCTTCTTTTTTTTCCGTTCTGAATTATATATAAAAAAATGTTTTATTTATAAATGAATTTCACTGTATATAGTCTAAAGTATGAAAGAAATGTATGTACATTTTTAGAATAACTAATTTCTACATTAAACACAACAATACGCCATCGCATTCGCGACTCTCCTATGATTAAAAGCAACACTTCCGGTTTTCTTCCCACCGGAGCAATTTCAAAATGGCAGCTGCGTGAAATCAGCGTATTTCATATGCAAGCATGTCAGCCAATCACAGCAGTGGGCGGTTACACTGAATCCCACAGCAGACACGCCCCTACAAACAGAGCGTTCAAATCAGAGGCTAAAATCAGGCTAGGAAAATTGCCTTTTATTTCTAAATTATGACTATTTTTGATCTAAAAAACATACTAACATTATAAGGGCAACCCAGGAAACATTATAAAATAATAAAATAACCCCATGTCAGGGGACCTTTAAAATATATTCAAATAGAAAACCGTTCTTTTAAATTGAAATAATATTTCACAATATTACTGTTTGACTGTATTTCTAATCAAGTAAATGCAGCCTGCGTTTTTCATTGTACATGATAAACTTTTTTCTTGAAAAACGTTCAGTGATGGAGGTAAATGGTTTGCAGTTCCCCTGCTATTAAACTGTGCTGTGTGCAAAAAGACATTTGATGGTAGTGTAATACACAGATAGGCACCACTTAAGAAGAACATTGACAAATGGGTGTCAACAGGACATTGTCACCTTTTCTCATGCCTCTTAAGATATTTCCTTGAGTGTGGTTTGCCACCTCTGATCTGTGAGTTCAAGGGTGTTACTGGATTCTGTGTGGTCAGGGACTATCCACCCCTTGGTGGGGAGTATTTTTCTTCGAGGGCTATTGGACCAAAGTTGAGCCTTGTTATTGCTGAATGAGACAACAGATCTAACCCAGGGACTTTCCCAAATGACAAAGCAAGAAATATCCTGCCATCTCCAACCTCAATTGATGACTATATATTAGGTTCTGGTTAGGGCATAACTTCTCGTATAAAAACCAAAAGGATAGTGCATATTGTTGTTAATGTCCTCTGTACTAAATCAGAGCATATGTGAAATTGCGGTTTTGCTTGAAATTGAAACTTTAAGAGTTTTCTCATAACGAAAACTCATTTTGCCATCTGTTGTTTGTTGAAACGGGGACCTGGAAAGGGTTACAAATTACTCATAATGTCTAATAGAAAGCTTGAATATTACTGATGGTGTTGTTATAGTCACAGTGTCACAACAGCAATGATAAAAAAATTGTTTAATGCGTCATTTTAGAGCTCATAAATTCTTATTGAGTCACCAAAATTTGGAACAGTTTGTTATTCTCAGATGTGTGTGAATATATGTTGCCTTCATACAGGGAATTGGTAAGTAGCCATAATATCAGTGCTTTAAGAAGGCGAGAATATCCTGAAGAATATTGGAGCTTCTGCACAATGGGAAGGGTTATATCTCTCCGAGCAGATGTATTGCCAAACCACAGCTGTATCACACATGTTTTCATGTCACTCTGGACTGATCACAAACTAGTCTAAGTCATCTCTCAAGGACCTTAGCTTTGCCTCCTATGTGAATCATGTCATATTTACCATGCAACGAGACAGATAAAATAGGCTGGCCCGCTTCTGAACACAGAGCAGGCCTGGCTGGATATGGTGGCAGGCTGTTCAATGCTCAGGGCCATTTCCATAATTACCCAACAGTCCAATCACTGTGGATTCCTGCAACTCTTGATCTCTGCTGATAATCAGCCAGTGTTCTGGTCAGTGCTGGACCCCCAAGGATGAACAGGTGCGGTAATGCGACTGATTGCAACTAATGCAACTGAGGTCTGTTCTGAGAGGATATTCCCCTCTGGACCTGCAATCTGAAGATATCTCTATAGATGAGAAGAAAAGAAGACTTGTCCTGTGTTTGGCTCAGTCTTATCAGAAACCCTCTGAAGAGCAAGAATGCCAGACATTCTCACAACTCTGTTAACATAAGAGTGTCGGACACTCAGATCAACAAACTGTCCTGCTGTAGCCCCTGATCTCCCACAGAGCCGTTGGATGTTAGCATCTAATAGAAATAATTAATTGAGCAAGTGCATAAATTAATATACAATACAGGAGAGATAATGTATTAGAGAAATACAGATTTACATTATCTGTTGCATTTAGGTTATTCAGTAACCATTTCCTCATCTAAATCCGCAAAGTCTATGACTTTGAACTAAAGAGCAAATGCAAAGGGTATAAATTATTTTTTGTGTGTGTAATAATAATAATAAAATGGAGTGGAATCCATCCTTTACCCTCATGTTGTCTCACCCTCAAAAGAAAGAAGTCATACAGGTTTGGAACGACATCAGGGAGAGGGAATGATAACAGAATTGTCATTTTTGGGCATATCATCCCATTTATGGTAAAAACAGGTATCAGTGGTTGTCAGAAAATATACTGTACTGTTGGTGACTGTATATTTTACACTATTTAATTGTAGCTTTGTTTTATCGAGGGGAATCGATTGATCCTCATTTAACAATATTAATTTAAGTGATTTTAGTAATATTATTATTAATATCTAATAACATTAAATTGTATACCACAAGCTTCAACGTGTAAAAAAAAAACGTGTAGGATACTAGAATGTGTATGATTTTCTCTTGAAAAGTGCAAGCAGCCATTTACATGCAAAGAGAGCAGTGCGAGCCAAAGGTAGACAGAGAAAACATCTGAAGCTAAATGTAAAATTTATTATAGACTTTTTGTGGTGTTTGATATTACATGAATGCGGTGCCACACACAAAGACAATATCAGCGTGACACATGACTGTGAAATAATGCAATAAATATGAAATAAATAATATAAAATGGATCATAAGACACTCCATTGTAGCTGATAACAAATATAAAAACAAACTAAAAATCTAAACAAATGTGACGATCTGGGAATGTTCATCTGCCATGTTATAAATTCTTACTCACAGCTAAAAAAATCTATATTTTATGGTCAATATAAAGATAATTGGTTTGTACTGCTGCAATTTAACATTTTTCCCCGTTAAAATTACTAACAGTTTTATAGTGTATAATACCTTTTCTTTACGTAGGCTACACCATGATGCGCGTTCCCGGACTGGATAGACGTCATCGTGCGCGTTCCCCTTCTCGCGCGCTGGTTAAAAAGAAGGTGGAAAGAGCAAAGAGAAACATGTGAGTGCACTGAAGAGCATGCAACAGACAACTTAGTGCAACTTTTGATCACACGCATCAACCTTTGTGCACTAACGGGATTTAACTTTTTGGCAAGGAGACGTACTAGCCTACTACGATTTCTGTATAGGCCTATAACCTGATCACTTTTCTTATTTTTTTATATTTAATCTCGCATTAATATACAATATCAGTTTTTTTTCTCTCTTCATTTTAACAACATCATAACCAGCACTTGTCTTAATTTATTATCGTATTTTTGGGGGTTAATATCTTAACTATAATTTAATTCAGACTACTTTATTAGCGAATAGTTGCTTAGTCTAAATTAGTTATTTTATAACAACTTTCTGGACGCGTGGTGACTGTCATACAGCAGTCCTATTTATTTCTGAGCAGTCGCGTGTTTCGCTTGGTTTAATCCCTGTAAAATGAAGCATTTCCAATTTGTGCTCTTGTTGGCCGTCGCGGCCAATTTTTGGGAATGTGGTGATGCGAAATTCGGCGAGAAAGGAGAATTAAGTCCAAGGAGGAGGAGATGTTACGATGGAAGTCTGCCGAAACGCCTGAAGAAGAAGGAGAGAAAACTGTCACTGGAGGGAAGCGGTGGAGGGGAGGTTTGTCACAGGCTCTATCCTCGCGTGTCCTGCTGTCCGTCCAGGAGGGCTCCTTATCAAATACTCCATCGGAGAGATGCTCTGGTATGTTCAGGCTTCTTGCAACCTCAAATTAGCAAGTGATTGTCATGCGTGTTTTGTTATGGCAACTGGTTCATAAATGTATTATGATATGTTTACAACAGCAGTAGGCTATGCAGAAGAAGAATGGGAATTCATGTAATGAACATATGGATAGCCTACATGTGAGCAGTATGCAGTAGCATGCATTTAACGCGTTTATTGAACAGTGAGTGCAGCGAAAATAGAACGCACAAGTCTCGAGACGTGTTTTTAAAAGTTGAGCTTGTTTTACCATGACACGGCGTCTTAAAAACATGGAATGAGACACTGATAAACACGGTGGGACCTTTCACAATGGCCAAACACGTACGTCGCGCGAGTGTTTGCATTAAAAAAAAAAAAAAAAAAAAACAGCTCGGACGGAGGTAAGAACGCGTGCAGTGTTTCCATCCTATTCACTCGCGAACACGAGGCACGCGTATGAATGAAATCGCTTCACTGCTGCAAAAATATTGTTTCCTTAATCTGTATGGCTCTCAAAATCTGTGTTTCTGCAGTTAAATGTATACACTACCTATTTTGCGCAACTTTCACGCTGATGTTTCATTGACAGCATACGCTTCTCTTAGTGATGGATACGATTTACATAAAACAGATGGGACACAAATGTCTCTTGATCGGTAATGAATCGCACCTTTCTGAGGCTTTCTATAGACGTGAGAAGATTCATCTCAATAGTTTTATCAATGAACACATTCTATGCCGAGAAATCTCTCTTTTCTCATGTAAACAACCTCCGCAAATCGACATACGCGGCTGGGTGGCATCGCACGTCGGTTTGTGACAAAAAGCCATATTGCATCATTTAATTTGCTCAAGTCATGCAAATAAGAGCGAGGCTGAATGGAACAAAAAAAGAGTCGACATCTCCTCCTCCCCACTACACTGCCCACACACGGAGTCTTTTTGCTTATGGCAAAAGAATAACAACAACACCATTGTGTTTGTTAGTTTCACTAATGGGTGAAGCTGGAGAACATCATTCTCCCCCAGTCCTTGGCTCTGTCCAAGTGTTGGTTAATGCCTTTGAGAGGGAGCATTTGTCCTGCTCCCCACCCCAAACTTACTTACATCAATTCCCGGGGGGTGGGGGGGGTAATCATGTCAGGTGATTCATTCATTAAATAATCATAATTTGATGACTGTTATAGTTGCTGTAACTTCGATCATCGATCACCTTTCCTGCACCTCATTGAGAACTTGTGAGGGTGTAGCTGCCCTTATTGTTAGTCGCTTAATGACAAGCGATTGTTTTCAGATGAGTCTTTGTGTGTTTACGCTTGTTCTGTCAGTTTCAGTGACAAAGGATATTGTGTGCTGTGATGGATGATCCCAACATCTGCTCAGATTTCACTATATAAACATGACTATCAATAGATTAGTCATCTAAATGTAGACATATTACCATTTTCATGCAGAGCAACACCATTTCTAAGGATCTGCTATTAACAAGCCTCCCAAAATCTCTGTTGAGTAATGGACAGTTGGACCTGTAAACTCGTATATGCCTCTTATTTGAACTGGCATGTTTCAACGGTAGTTACATATGGCATTAAAAGGCTGTGATGTAGACCGTGGTGTGATTTGAAGCAGCTTTGAACAACTTTTGGCATTTTTTGGAAAACACAAAAAAACAAAGGTCCTCTTGTTGCTAGTGAGGCTGATGGCAACATTGGAGCCCATCCCAGCAACATATGGGAAGAGCGCATGGTTGAGAGCACACAAATGCTTCTCTCCATGGACCATGTGCCAGTCCATGGCTCACTAAATCAATGGGCAATTTAAAGCAGGAGAGTTGCCACTCACAGACCAGGGTAACAGACCAACCACTGCAAGACAGACCATAGCTTGAAAATGGACAACATTTTAAACGTTTTTAAAAATCTGGTTCATTTGGAGGTGTCAATACATTTTTGGACACCGTTTTATCTTCCAGGCACAAAGATGGTTTTGATTCACTTGAAAGAATCTGGAGAATCAACATCAAAGAAATCTGTCCAAATGGTTTACAATGCAGAGCCGGGAAGGAGCTGGGCTGTCTATACGCTGTCTGCTGGGTGTGTTGGTCTAATTGACTTGGACAGACTGCTAATTTGTTGATACCAGCACAGGAATGATGTGCCCGTCTATCTGTAAATTGGTGTTTACACATGGACCTCACACAGAGAGAGAGGGAGGTTTACCAGACTGCTGTGGCCCAGGCACATGTCTGAGGAAGGGAGCAGATTACATTGTTGTTTTATTACAGCTAATTTGTTACATAAATAAGCCTGCTCATTTTCACTGCCCTAATCTACTGTTTACTTTTGCTTGGTGTCTTAAGAAACATTTTGAGTATCCTCATTTCGATCCGTTCGCTCCAGCATGGGTTCAGCTCTCAGCTGCCATGCGAGGTGCAATTTTGGCTTAGCTGTTTGTGAGCTCAAATAAACAAATCAGGAGAAATCAAGTCCACATGAATGTGTGGTGTTTGTTAAGAAAGATGTTTAGAATGTGAATTGCGTCCAATTAACTAGAAAACATTCCAAAAAATGTGTGTCAAACCGCATTGTTTTTTTTTAATGATATACAGTCATTATATAGGAATAACTTTGTAGCATAAGTAAAATATGAATTAACCATTAAATTAGAACCACAGTTCTACCCTTTTCTCTCCTCAGATCTTTTCAACCAATAACACAGAGTGTTCTAGACTTCTGGAGGAGATTAAGTGTGCCCATTGCTCACCACATGCCCAGATGCTCTTCCACTCACCCAAACTTGAAAAATCACCACACAGAGAACAAGATCTACCCCGCTTATGCCACGACTACTGCCAAGAGTTCTACTACACCTGCCGGGGACAAGTACCAGGTAACAAACTAAATACATACTAGAGTTTTGCATAAAGATCCTCAGTAACTCTTCTGACACATGTATTACACATATTCTGAACAAATGTTTATTTCTCAGCTGCCATGACCTCAGATTGATTAATGTATCAGACTGGAAAGTTGTATAGGCTTTATGCCAAACGTCACATGAACAAACAGGAAAACAGGTCTCATTGCATCCACTTGCCATAGAAAGTGTTAACGGCAGTACGAAATTATGGCGATATCTAAGGATTTTAAGGTAATCAGCCAACCTTTCTTGTTCTTTTTATTGTTTTATTGTTTAATGAAGCACTTACAAAAGACCTGAAACGGATGAGATGCAACCTGTTTTACAGAATATGGAAGTTTGTTGCGCATAACCCCCCTATTGTGGGAGAAAACAAATATATGTGGCAGATATGCATGGCAAACTTTGAAACAGAGAGGTTGTTTAATCTGAGGTTCGGCAGATGCCATTCAGGAACCACTTGTTGCAGGTTCTTTCTTTTTAACTCTTGCAATGACTTAAGTATCACAAAAAAGCTTAAAATTAATAGTATTATATACGCATTTAAAATATAATATATAAATGGTAACAATTAAACTATTTAAATATTTTATATTTAAAATTAAATATGAAATATTTTATTGTTGAATATTAATGAATCCAACGGAATGGAGAATTCAAAAACAGAATGAAGAACTCAAGAACATGCTTTAGCTCAGATCCCAGCTTGAAGCAGTCTCATACGACAATCTTTATTAAATTACATGAAAATAATGTTAATGAATACCTTTAATCCTTCTTTATGCTGCTACGTTGGCATTGACCATTGAGGTCCATTCAGTGTTCCCTATTTTGATCTCTCAAAAATCATGTAATGGCTTTTCAAACTTAATCATAGTTGTTAAGCTTACATGTAAACACACATCGGTGGACACATGCCCCAAACAAAGCTTGAAAATCTGTAGCTGTAAATGAATGATTTTATGACCTGTTTCTTCCCCTCGGTCCTTTGGCAAGCATCTTATTTTACGTCAGCATTTTTGTGCATCTGTCTCTGGGTATGTGTGTGTGCGCGGTCTGACTACGGTCTAGACATGACTGATACTCACACCTCAGCTCACCAGCAGAACACACACACTTTACAGGATGCAGTGGAAAACGAGGGCTGTTCAAGGCAATGCTCACATATAATCAGTTTGTTTTTCTTGGTGGCAGCCTACGTTCAATGAAAAGACAAACATTAAGGCCTCTGAAATGGCAGAGGGGGGGAGTCCAAAGACCTGAAAAGCTCTAAGCCATCATGAGGTTTGTATTTTCTCCCAAACATGAATGACATCAGGAGCAAACATCCCATAGCTGCTCTATAGTGTTGCAACATTCGCTGCATGATGCATTCCATCAGATGTAATGGTATGCAGAAAGCTGGCCGCCAGACCAAACCTTCTTCCTATCAGCGCAGCCATAACAGATTAGATGGGGGCCGATATGCAAACAGAGAGCAACACGCACATATGCACCCACGGAAATATGGATACACCAACAAATCAGACACTGTATACATACAGTTTACCTCTTGGTCTTCCTCCATAAAACGGACAAATAAGGGTGTGCAGTCCGTTTCGACTTTTTGCAGAAGGAGGAAGCGTATGGGAAGGAGAGGGAGAGAGAAAAATAGTGGTAAAGTCTCTGAGAACAGGAGCCGGGGCCAAAAGACTTTACCCTCTCCCCTCTTCGCCTCCCAAATCAGCATATGTGGTGACGAATGACACATTTATTTTTCTATAAAGGTTGTGTATATGTAAAACTGCTGAAGTGCATCAAGATGTCAAGTACTTTGGGTGGCCACCCAGGTTGCTTTGGAAGATAACCAGATGGAAGTATAACTATAGCGCTAAGGATGTGGAGACTTTTTCTTTCTGTCCTGTTTTTCGTAGGCCAGTACAATAAAACTCAAAAGTATTGTGGAGGGGCTGAGACCATAGTTAAGGCCACACAGTGTTTTTGCCATGTTTGGGGAAGTTATAAATTGTTCAAATTAGACAGTTCATGTGATTCATTCATGTAGATATTTTTTTAAGCATGTTTTTAGACCATGATTGCAGATTGGTTTTCAAGAGCAAAACAAGCCTTCATATTTTTATGCTGTTTACATTCAGTCCCCTTAGGTTAAGGAAAAGTGTTTCAGTTCCAAAGTATTAATTTTATAGCCGTTGTCTTTTCAATGTATTGATCTTATTTGATTTGAAAAATATTAAGTTATGAATTGGGTTAATTAAATAAGGTTATCATTTTAGCTAACTGATTTCAACTACAATCAATTATATGATTTGTATAACACATTTAAAGTATTCAGCAATGCTAGTTGCAGAACTGGATGAAAAATCGAATCAAATAGAAGTTTAAGACTTGGCCTGTTGCTCCAAAATGTTTTGGGAGGATATTTCCACACCCCTCATCAGCACAGACCTAATCAATTAAAATGATTTCTAAAAATACTTATCCAGCAATCCGAAATAACATTGACATTGAAAGGACATGGAAAAATTATAGACATTTAAAAGTGTGGGAGCTGCATAAAGGTTCTGACCTCACAGCTATTGACAACAACTCCCAGACCCTTACCTCTCGCAACAGCAGGCCCAAGATAACCACTGTGGTTTGTGTGTGGGTGGCATGGCATGGCAGTGTGAGTGTAGGTAGTGGTGGGTGTGCTTGTGTGTTTGATCTCACTGTTGTGTTTAGATGTTTAGGGATATCCTATCACCTCTGTTGTTGGTGCTGCTGCCTCACTCCCACCCGTAGCCCCCTTCCTCAGACAGCATGGGGGACTCGTTGGAGATGAAAGGAGGGAGAGGAGTGTGTTTGTGTTTCTATCACTGCTGTATTTGCTCTACTCCTCCCCATGAGAGGGTTTAGCTAAGGTGGTTACCATATCAGTGTGGTTTTTAGGTCACGCTGTTCTCAGCTACCAAACCGAGTCCTGTTCTCTCCCCTTGTCGTCCTACTACTCATTCAGCCAAAAGGAAGACGGTTCCTAGAAACTGACCACGATTTATTTTTGCCACATGCTTAATTTTTCAGGTTTTTCATTGCACATTCCTCAACTCTAGATGGTGGAATTATTTTGGCTACTATTGGAGAAATAAATATGGGTGTTTTCCCTGAAAGTAAGCAAGCAAACCTAATCTCTGAAATATAATCAATCAGTTTGGGTGTGCACTTATCATTTATTTGGACTTGACCTGCATGTTTCTACTGAAAAATATAACAGTGAAGTAGATACAGATTGAACATTGACCGTTTGGAATTTTTGGGTTTAATTAAACTCAACATACGGACCACACATGTCTGAAATAGTTTATAATACCTCACTGGGGTTCAACCATCACATAATTGTAGCACTCAGAAGTGTGTATCAATGTGGCTCTGTCAAATATGACCGTTTATAACAAATGGTTAAATATCTGGACCGGTATGAATGACCATGGCTTGCACTTGTCAGATATGAGAGGCAAAAACAAATGTCTTGATTTGAGACTCAGTACTTTATAAATGCACCATAGACAAGATTGGAATTAAGCTTGGCACCGGAATCACCACCAAAACGCCCACACCATAAGCAGTCTGATGGCTGAGGACATACTTGACTCGAGTACAGCTTTGACTGTAGGGGATTCAGTTGGTTTTGGAGGTTATTACATCATCAATGGACCCTGTGTGGTGTCTATCTCAGGCTGAGACCAGTTGTCTATCTGTCTGTGTTTTTTAGAACTGTTCCAAGCCGACGTGGATGAGTTCTGCCAGTACTATGGAAGGAAGGACGGAGGGCTGTGCTTTCCAGATTTTCACCGAAAGCAGTTGCGCCGAGATTCCAACTACCTGTTAGATGAAAAAATAGAAGGGATTAACAGGTATATTTAAGTTTTACACTCAATTTTTTAAATTACTGTTGAAAACACAATTCTGATTTAAGATTAGTTTGTTTTATATGGTATATTCAATAGAGGTTTTAAATCATACAAGAATAGTTCACCCAAAATTCTGAGAAAATTAAGAGTTAATTTATAAAGAATATCCTGGCCAATCTTTGCACTACAATGAAAGTGAAATGGGGCTTTCAAGCTTTAAAATGCTAATGGTCCACATGACTTGTAGGAAATATATAGTACCTTGTCTTCTAAAGTCATACAATAACATTTTTAACAAACGATAAAAAACATTCACAAAACTCTTGACACCTGCCCTAGTGCTCCTTGGCACGTCAATGAGAGTATAGAAGAGAAGTGACAATGTCTGATTTGAGAACTAATCGTTATTTTTGATGAACCGGATGATCAAGTTCACAAAACCAGTTTGAATGATTCATAAATTATTTGGACTAACTATTGTTTAGAGCTTTATTAATCCCCGTGCGGCAATTAGTTTGAGCTTACATGCAAATAGTTCTGAAGATCAGCTCAGACTCAATCTTGTTGCAACAGCCAATGACAAGGAAGATTATTAATGAATATCCACTTTGATTTAGTCACAAATTGTACAGCATTGCTTCAGAAAACTTGGAATCTAATGAATCTAGTGAAGTTGTATGGAGTACTTTTACAGTCATTTTGCATCCTTTTTGACACTTGAAAGCGTCTGATTAGAAAAGAGGAATAGAATAGAATTTTTATTCAAAATTGACATGAGGGTGCTTAAATAATGACAAAATGACCATGTTTTGGATGAATTATTCTGTGTAATGACTAGGGGTGGAACGGTACACAGAAGTCACGGTTTGGTTCATACCTCGGTTCAGACATCACGGTTCGGTACGATTTCGGTACAATGAAGGGAAAAGCAAAACAAAAATGCAGAAGGCATTGTATTTTTAAAATAAGTTTTATTAATAAAGGCATAGAACCAGTTTATGCACTGACAATAGTTTTATATAATTAGTTTATTAATTAAATTAATAAAAAGACAAAAAGACCTTGCGATATGTTTGGTAATTGGCCCAATGACGTGATGTGCAATTTTGATGTCCAAACCGCTTTATGAAGTAAAAATAAGGAAATGTTTAATAAAAAGCACATTTATTGAATCTATTAATCTCTGTTTATCAAATGATATGAACATATAGTGAGGGTATTACAAAGTGTAAGAATTATTAGACATTATAGTCTCATAATGTCATACCGGATAACTGTCCGGACCTTAGAGTGACATGCAAAAAAGCCAAACAAACTGTAAAAAATCTAATAAACCCTAACATCTCTGCCACAGGCATTATTGTATGAGTCTTGACAACAATATATTTAAATATTACAAATAATATGACATCCAGTTGATTGTTATGCTTTGGAGCATTCTGTCCCAAAACTGGCTGTCAGCCAATGTCATCCAGGATAACAAGCAAATTGGAGCAATTTTATTGTAAATTTTATTTTGACATGATGTGAGACAGCATGTTACACAATCAGGAAGACCCTGAAGGACCCCCAAACAATGGTGAAAGTCTTTTATGTCTTTCATAAAATGTGTTTAACTTACCCTTTTTCCTCACTAGCACACTATGTAGTAAAATCCTGTGTCATATGGGATAACGCTAAAATAACATATATAATGTGGATTTTATGTCAATTGTTTATTTAGCATGAATTTACATATTTGGTAGATGAAGGTAAAGGTTGCAGATTTCTATAGGTAGCCAAAAATACTGCCTGATTAAGATTTAATCTGAGTTTTGTCATACCGGATAACAATTTTGTCATATAGGATAACAGTTGTTAGCCCATAATGTCATCCGTTATCTTGGATGACGTGTTTGACAATATATTCTTATACAGTTTTCAGCTTTAATTTGCATAATTTCCATTCAAATTGTGATATTAACATATCATTAACATTGTTTAGTTGAATATTAGCAAATTATAAAATTCATAAGAATATTCAATTACAGTTACATTACATTTACTATAGACATTGTCTAAAATAACATTTAGTGTTCATTTAATGAAATTTAGTGATTCAGTGTTCAACCCATTAATAAGATTTTTCTTTATAAATATGTTGTTCAATTACATCTTTTGTAAATTTGTTCAGTGAAATCAGTGAAGGTCGCCTACTTTAACCCTTTACATTATTTATGAATATTGATGTAGAGTGACTATGATCAGTAAAATGGTTCAAGGTACTTTTCAGTAATAAATTAAACCTAATGTTGGAAAGTTGTGCTGTATTGATATTCATAAACATGAAAAAAAAAATGGTTTAAATGTATTTACTTGCCAAATCTGGGAAGAAACCACACTGAGTTTGTGTGTAACAGTTTACACACTGAAAACGTCTCAGGTTACGTATGTAACCCTGGTTCCCTGAGAGGGAACGAGACGCTGCGTTTGAGACGCGGTGGGAACGCTCTGCGTGATTGCGTCATGAAGCACGTGTAAAATCAGTCCAATGGAACCCCGATACGTCATAGGTGACGTCATAGACCAGGAAACTATAAAGCACCCTTGAAAACAGACCGCGACAGCTTCTGAAAAGTCTGAAGTAAGTCGATCAGGGTATGCAGGAAGTATGGCAGGCAAACGCAGCGTCTCGTTCCCTCTCAGGGAACCAGGGTTACATACGTAACCTGAGACGTTCCCTTTCAAGGGAACTTCGAGCTGCGTTTGAGACGCGGTGGGAACCCCATACCCACTACGCCATAGTGACAAATGCCCGTTCTGTGTGAAGTCCTTGCGCACACTAAGAAGCAAGCAACCTCGCCCCAGGAGTGGAGAGGTCAAGGTCATAAAACCTGACAAATGTATGTGGAGAGGACCAACCTGCCGCATTACAAATGTCAAGAAGGGAAACACCCGAAATTAAGGCCGTAGAGGCCGCCATACTCCTTGTAGAATGGGCCCGTACAGCCATAGGTGAAGGCTGACCGGCCGCTTCATAAGCCAATGATATAGCCTCAACTATCCATTTGCTCATAACCTGTTTAGATGCAGGGCACCCTCTTCTGAGTGACCCAAAACATACAAATAACTGCTCTGACTTACGCCACAGGGCAGCTCTGTGAACGTAGGCATCCAATGCCCAAACTGGACATAACAGGTTCAGTTGTTCCTGATCTGGGGTATTAAAAGGTGGAGGATAAAAGGCCTGCAACACTATTGGGCCCCTAACATTAACTGGGACCTTAGGAATATAACCCGGTCTAGGGTATAGAAATGCTTTCACCATACCAGGTGCAAATTCCAGACATGACGGAGCAACCGACAGGGCATGCAAATCTCCAATTCTCTTGATAGATGAAATAGCAAGGAGAAATAAAGCTTTCAAAGTGAGGAATTTTTCTGAAACCTCTTCAATAGGCTCGAAGGGAGCCAGAGCCAGACCCTCAAGTACAATGGCTAAATCCCAAGCCGGTGCTCTAGAGTGCAGTGCAGGTCTCAACCTCAATGTACCACGGAGAAAACGAGTAATCAGAGGATCTCTCCCAAAAGAAGTACCCCCCAGAGGGGTATGATAGGCCGAAATAGCCGCCACATAAACTTTTAAGGTGGAAGGAGATAATCCAGCAGAGAAACGGTCTTGCAGAAAATCGAGATCTGAACCAACAGGGCAGTTAACAGGATCTAACTGACGCTCACCACACCAGGTGGAGAATAATTTCCATTTCAGTGCATACAGTCTTCTCGTGGAAGGAGCTCTGGAATGGAGAATGTCTCAACGACCTCAGTCGAGAGACTGGATTCTATGAGCCTGGCCCCCTCAGAGGCCAGGCCCACAGTTTCCACAACTCCGGTCGAGGGTGAAATATCGTGCCCCCTGCCTGGGACAGCAGGTCCCTCCTGAACGGAATCTCCATGGGAGAGCCGTCCAGAAGAGACAAAGTCCGAGAACCAAACTCGAGTCGGCCAGTACGGGGCTACTAGTAGCAGATGAGCCCCTTCCCGGCGAACCCTCTCCAGAACCTCCGGGAGCATAGATATCGGGGGAAATGCGTACAGGTGCAGCCTCGGCCACACCTGCACCATCGCATCCAGTCTGAGAAGAGCTGGCTGCGTGAGGGGGAACCATATAGAGCAATGCGTTGTACAAACGATGTGAAAGGTCGACTTGACTTTAGTTAGACCAAAGTTCTCCCTAAGAAGCTCCACCACCTCGGGGTGAAGTCTCCAATCCCCTGGGCCTCAGCCCCTGCCTCAACAGGATATCTGCTCTGATATACGAGACCACCAGTGTGTTGTCCGCCATTCGCCGAGCAACCACTCATGATCGCCCCCACTTGTGAGGGAAGCATCCGTCGATAGCAATATGCGTCGACAAGAAGCCCCCAACACTGGGCCTGGGCGAGGAACCAAGGTTCTTCCACATGACCGAAGCACGAAGGCATAGCCGCGTGACTTTGATCATGCGAAAACGTATTTCCCCTCGGAGAAAAACCCCTTGGTCCTGAGCCACCACTGCAGGGGTCTCATGAACAGAAGGCCAAAAGTAATACGTTGGACGCAACTGCCATGAGACCCACCCGTCTGAAACTGTTTCACAGTGAGTGACTGGCCTAGATATACCCCATTACGGCTGTAAGAATTGCTACACCTAGAAAAGTGGTCCTCAGAGCACACTCTTCTTGGCGTTGAGAGGCAACTCCAACATCCTTAATGAGACAGAACGACATCTCGATGCCGAACTGCCATAAACTCAGATTGAGCTAGGAACAACCAATCATTGATGTAGTATAATACGCGAATGCCCTGGAGTCTCAGAAGAGCCAGAGCTGCATCCACGCATACTGTAAAGGTGTGGGGTAATAAACCTAGGCCGAATGGAAGAACCCGATAATGGTATGCTTCGCCCCCGAAAGCAAACCTCGGGAACCTCCCTCATCCTCTTTCGGAAACAATGAAGTAATGGCTGTCTGCTGGGAGGAGGA